TCTACCATCTTGAAATGTAGCTGTGCCTTTAATAATGAAAGATTGATATAGTGCATGTATCCACAAGTTCATATGCACTTATTACAAATGAAAGATTCCAAATAACAATGAAATTTGTTAAAAAAGGAAAAATATAGTAATAATTATGGCATTAACTTCAATACTAATACATACAACAAAATATCCTTTTCAGTCATTTCAACATGTTTAAAATACATAAAACAAACAAGTCTTAGAAACCTTCTTTCACAAATAAGATGTGTCTATCATTTCACACTCAACAGTTGTTTCGCTTTAATGCAAAGGGACAGCTAACTTTCTAGTTGCAGGCACAACCATATAAGAGACTAAATTGCCTACCATTCATAAAAAGCTATCATTAAGTTATGGGTTGAATGTTTTGACAATTATTAGCAATTTTATTGTAGACATTSTGGTGTTATTGCTATCAAAGTAAATATTGATATTCTTACATCCATTGATATTCTTACATCCCAAAATCATTATCTTGAAATTATTCTGGCATTTTCTGAATGCAATGCAGTCTACTGTATAGAAGAAATGAAGSTGAATCAGGTGATCCACTTTTAAACAGTGTGGTTTAATGATTTCCTTTAGAAATCAAAACAAGGTGTCCAGTATCGATATACTTGGGTGGATCTTGCTGACCAATCTACTAAAAACTGTTCACAAATCTGGAAATATCCCTTGAAACTAGCACTGGAAAAGAGTCAAGACAAAATTCACCTTAGCCAGAAACTTTTAACTCTAAGCAATATTTCAAAACTTCCCAAGACTTTACCATTTACTTGTAAGTATTCACATCTACACAAGTGGACACTCAAAGATCAGGTTGGTAAAAAATTTTAGAACTCATTAATAATTCATGAGCTATTAGTCCAATGATCATCAAACTATTGGGACACATGATGKGCCTTTATATCCSATAAAGTACTGATGTTTTATTAATCGGTTCTATATCAGATAATATATAGAACTGATCAAGTTCATCAGCGYTTTATCGCAACCCAACACTAGCAAAGGTCTCAGTTTTAATGTCGCATCATAGACCTTTGCTAGGTTTTAAATCAGTTTGAATCAATGTGACGACATGCACTATAGCTAGACTAGCTGTTCTCTCGTGTGGGATCAAAATTCTTTCAATGTAGCACAATGCATATGCTCATTAGAAGTTCAATATGCATTATCACTGTTTTCACATTTTTTAGCTTTTTTCTAAAATGATAACAATTTCTGAATGTTGGAGTTCTAGAAGTCGTTTATAGAACTCAAGTGCGTGTTTTATCAGGTATATAGATTCTCGAGTTCTATAAACAACACTTATCGAATGTATACCCACAGATACAGACAAATAAAACTAGTAATATAGAGTTAACATAGCTGTGAATATGTTATGTTCAATGATTTTCATGTGTTTAGTTTGTTTTTGTATTCCTAAAGGTGTTCACTGGAACTAAGAAGGAARAAATACTTTGGCAACCAGACATGAAAGTTGTTTGGAAAAACAATGAAATGTACAGGCTAGTAACAAGTTTGTATAAATAGTTAATTTCCATACAGATCAGACAATTGGCATACTCTATGAGGAGTGGAGAATGGTCCTCTTATTTTCTGCGAATATCAAGATAAAGGCTTTCAATTTGAGATCAGGACTCTATCAGATTTCCAAAAAACAAGACCAAGAATTTCTTCTTTGTGCTTCACATTTTGAAATTATCATTTGCCACCCCTTCTTCTATAAAAATTTAAATTAACAGATGATTGTTCTTAATCAGAGTGTATCAAAACAAGAAAGACATTCTAAAAGTTGAAATTTATCCCAGAGATGGTTCAGTTTTCATATCTTCTGGTTTAACTGGGAAATTCTTCAATCATGTTGACTACAAAGGGAGAGAGGTATTGAAWTTTTTTTCATTCTATTCTAAGCGACGGTCCATTTAACTTTTGAGGGGGGGGCTGGATGATTTCTTGTGAGCAAGATTTTTTTTCTTCGTGGCTTTTGGGTAGGATATTTTTTTTTCTCTTGGTGGTTTGTAGGAATTTTTTTTCTTGTATGTAACATTTTTTTTGCCCCCCCCCCCTCCCTCAAAAGTTAAATGGAGCGTCCCTAAGTCTGTCTGAAAAATGAATTTTTTGTTTAGGAAAAGATGTATGCAGCTGATAAGCCACCTCCTGATCTACCAAGAATGAAGTATTCTGTAGCAAAGATACTGARACAAGGCTCAAGGTTATTTAATTTCATCTTAAGCATTGGCCTTCTTGTTCAGAGTGAAGTGCCATGTATTTGCTGGAAATCACAGGTGATTCATGAAATATTAACTAGATTTTACCAGCTGTTTTTCCATAATTATAGACAACTATTTGAACATGAACTGTAACTTTTGTTCCAGGACAAGAATGTAAACTTCACTCCATATGCAGAACCTGTGTTTGTTTCTGAGAAAGCTATTGTGCCTGATGTTGGCAAGTTTGTTGCATACTCTAATGGCCATCTATATGTTGCTTTTGCTGACAGGACATTGATAAATGTCAGATATACACCAAAGAATGATGACCTTTGGTTCAATTGTACTTTACCAAGTGGACACGTTTTACAGGGGTATGCAGACAATATGCCAGGATTGGAAAGGTATGTCTGCTGTTAATAGTATACTATCTTAATTGCATCACTACTGGTCATTCAACAGGCAAATGTTTCTCAAGACAAACAAAAAGCATTTTGTGTTCATTTGTCAGTATATCATCATTATATTGTKTTGGGCAATAAATATGTCTTGTATATCAGATATATCAAGATGGCTTGTGAGTGGGGAGACTGGGTAACCTCTTCAACTGAAAAACGAGAGACTTTTTACACTCATTCTATGTGGGATCTTGATCGAGAAAGGTATCCATGTCRCCTTAGGGCTAGTTAGTTTATAGAAACCATTAAGGACTGTCACATGTCTAACTTGTCCTTTCCATCATCCATTGCTCATTTTTTATTCAAGAAATATAATGAGCTGCATTTGGAGAGAGTCTRCAATTTGTCTTGCACAAGGCTCTTAGTAAACAGTGATTTTATATTCTTATAGTCTTTTTTAAGCTCACAAATGTCAAAGCATGTCTTATAAGCATGTTCATCTGCCAGTGAGGGTTGAATATAATTTCTGTGTTTGTATTTGAAAGGCTTGTAGAAGAAGAGATCAATAAATTGAAAAGATTTAACAGTATCCTTGTCTAAAATTGAATCTTAAACTATATTCTTTACTTGTGGTGGTCAATAAAATCTTTTATAAATAGTTTAAAACCATGCAATTTCAATTCAGTGTATTAAGTACAATAATGGTGCCAAGGTTTACTTTAACTGCTATTAGAGATCCTTGATTGTGGAAATTTAACAATAGCACATGAAATAAAACCCCACACTGCACATGTGGTAAGTGACTAATTAATCATTCATGCTGCATGCTTTCAATAATCAGATGCTCATGATTTCTTCACAGGTGAATCAAGAAAGCAACAAGCAGACAACGTATCTTCACAACCTGCCAGATATAAACATGGCTCTTCAAAACACAACCAATGCTATTAAGAACATTGAGAACTTTATTTCTACTTCTAAAACAATTACTAAATAATATTTGTACTTTATATAACAATTGTAAGTTTAATATTATAATATGTATATAAATATATGAAGTACTTTCAATATGCAAAAGAGGCTTGATGTATTATTACTTTTCCTCTATTGTTTTTGAATGCAATGTATATATTTTGTCTGCTGTGCACTCCTTTGACTTCTTTGACCAATTGATTTTTAAATTATTTTCCTCCTTTGTTTATATTGGTTTTTGTTCCTCATTAGTTGGGCTACCTGCAGGGACCCGACTTTAAGTTTTAYCTTTCTGCCATGCTATCTATTTAATGTATTAATGTCGATGTCGCGTTTGGACCACCGGAAGTTAAGAATTCGAGATTTTGGAACCGGAATTTCAGACAATAAACTATTTGGTTGGCTGTCTTATTTCGTAACATCCATGACAGGAACCTCCGCTTTAATGTGATCAAAAARCCATTCGTTTACAGATGTGGTATCTGTGATCYCATCGGAATGCATTTCTATTCATCAGAAGCACGCGCATGTACAGATTGCATGCAGCTTTATGTGTCCAGTGTGGGCAAACCTTTCAAATTGGAATGAAATTAGAACAAGAAGAAAAGGTGATTTTCATTATTTTATAAGTATCTTTATTTGTAAAAGTATTAATTTTTTTGGCCTGAGAGGTCCAACGTATATTTCACCAAGATATGCATGGGAACATTTAGTCTACCGTTTGCATTAGTAATAATAGAATATCAGTCAAAGTAGTGAATTAATTTGTCGCCATGAAGACAACTTTTTGGAGATTGTGCTGGCTTTTTGCTAAACTTTGATAAGTATACGTCTTAGTAGGTTCTTTTCTTTAAACATTGCATGAAAAATYGGTAGATTGACCAGGTATAGTGCGGTGTGTTATCGTATCTGTTTATGTGACAAAGCGTAAAGTCGGGCTAGCTATTTTGGAAAATTGAGAAAGAAGGGATATTACATGGGTGCGAGGATACGAAAGAGCGAAATATTTTCAACACGATACGATAAAATTTGTATCCCCAAGCAACTATGTAAAGTATGGCGTAAGATACCTTTCACTATTTTTTTTTATTAAATTTATGTGCAGCCCAATCCTAATTCTTTATTCACACACTGTGATATTCTTCTCTGATRGCAAGGTGCAACAACGTCAACACACTAGAAATATCAAACTAGGATTGATATCCTGTCTTGCTCAATTTTCCAAAATAGTTAGCCCGACTTCACGGTCTAAGACCGTCTAGTTTCTTCTAGGGTTTTTGTTTTTTTTTCTTCTTCTTTCTAGTTTTGATGGTGGTGAAGGTTAACGTCCCGTGGGGCAAGATACTTTACATCTATATTTACTTAATGAGTAGAATGAGTATCAAATTGATGCGTTCAATAATGGAATGAAGACAGGCAGTGGAAAGTCAGATGCAAATTTAATATACAGTTGGCTAGGTTTTTCATTGTTTTGCTTCAATATGTTTGTTTTTCAAAATTGTTTTTAAGTGACAATTGATGTATTCTTAAGTCACTTTGTTTGCTTTTTTTGTTCTGTTGTTCTAATGACCCGTTGAAATATGTTGAAAAAAGCTTGGGTATATAGCAAATTATCAACCCATACTAGCTTTAAGCTCGAGGACAAACACTCAGTGAACTCCCATGCGTTGTGTAACAAAAGACTTCTTTAGACCCATTAATTTTACTTAACGGACATGTAGCGTGACCGGTTAATTATGCTAATCATAGACGAGTGAACTCTGCAACCAACACAGGAGCGGTCTTAATCTCGTCTAGAGAACAACGAGTGTACTCACTCATATTTAGTAATGGTTGATGCTTGGAGCTGGGAATGGATTGGCAGAATTTAGCAGYTATTTGTCTCTACTTTATAATACAATGTAATTATTCAGGTGAGAGCGTTATGCTGTTCATTTGATCTGATGGAATGTTTAGATTTCTACGTTATCGTAACAATTACCACGACATTCACGTCTTTATTACGTGCGTTCATTAAGTAAAAAGATTATTACTGTTATAACCATGAGCATATCTCATAGTTGATAGTTCCTTATGCGAAATGAATTATAAACTATTGTAAAGGTCGCGTTATGGTCAGAACCGTCTAAACACATCAAGTTGTTTGTTCCAATGTCTTCCTCGACGTTTATAATCCAAAGTCCATAGCACATGCCTTTAATATATAAGGACAGCTTCATGAAGTATTCCATAACGAAAAGAAACCTTTCCGTGATTTTGTGTATAATTCATTTATTTTGACTCACGCAAGCAACCGTGGTCTCATTTACCACCTACTAGCCTGGTTCCAGAGGCTTCTYTGCATATATCTTCTCTTTCTGTACCTTTCGGATCTAATCCGTATTAAAGCTCACAGCTAGATAACAGATACAGAAAAGAGACTGAAGAGATGTATACAGCGAAACCTTTGGAACCAGGATGACAACCATTTATCATAGCCAATAACATGACCATAACAAGCCAATCGATGAGTTCTCTCTAGTATATGACTGGATGAGTTGCTTCGGTGTACATGTCTGTAGCTTCTCTAGAATCTGTCTACATAGCGAGCTTCAAATCGGCCTGACCCGCTAATGCTCTAGTCAATTGAGACCCCCGTCCCCCGGGGCTAGCATGGCAATGAACGGGGATGTGACGGGTTTTTAACGTGCTTTTAATAGCAAGATTGCCCTGGGGGGGTCAGGATTTTGATGAATTGTTTTCGAAGCGGGGCAAAGAGCGGGAATTTTAGCGAGCGTTTAAGAATGTATGTGGAAACTATAGAGGTCGGCCATCTTGAGAAGTACCCTGAAGGCATTGGTATTCAAACCCGCTTTTTTWWTWKYTKMTTWTTYYT